CCTTGGGCTCTGTAGCAAAACTTCAGACATCTAATCTGAAGGAAAGAATGCTCATGGGGCACCTTATTGTTCTCTACAAGTACCTGAAAGGAAGGTATGGGGAGCTGGGGGTTGGCCTCTTCTCACAGATAACTGGTGATAGGACTAGAGGAAATGACCTCAAGTTGCACCAGGGCAGGCTTAGTTTGGAAATTTAGAGAAATTTCTTCTCAGAAAGAGTAGTGAGGCATTGGGACGGGTTGCTCAGTGAAATGGCAGCGTCACCATCCCTGGGGGAATTCAAGGAAAGGTTGGACTCAGTACTTAGGGACATGTTTTATGGGGTGACATTGGTAGTAGGGTGATGGTTGGATTGAGTGATTTCGAAGGTCTTTTCCAACCTTAATGATTCTGTGATTCTATCTTAAAGGCAGACAAATGTGTACAGACAAGAAGGCTGAGACAAAGTCTTAAAAACTTCGGGGCAATGTTTAATTTTAAGAAAAGGAAAACTATTTTCACCTGTCCATGTGATTAATATCTCACTTGCTTAGAAAAATGATGTGCTAAAGGCTTTCTTTCTTTCTTTCTCTCTTTCTCTCTTTCTCTCTTTCTTTCCTGCCTTCTCTTTCCTTCTTTCCTTCTCTCTTTCTCTCTCTCTTTCTCTTTCTCTCTCTTTCTGTCTCTCTCTCTTTCCCTCTCTCTCTCTTTCTCTCTTTCCTTCTCTCTTTCTCTCTTTGTGTGTGCATGTTTTAATTTGGGGGGAGGAAGGAAGGATTTTTTAAATTTCTCATGTCAGTGAGCAGCACCAGAAAGTCTGGAAACCAAGATAATGCCTGTGAACTACTGTCTACAATCTACTTTTTTCAAGGGGATGACGGTAAGAGTGAGAATTTTCTGCATCAAGCTGGTCACTTAAATATTCTGTACCTCTGCTCCCTTATTTGTACTGCAAAGAAAATATTTGTTTTCCTCTTTTACACTAAGGGAATATAACTATTTGATCATGTAAAACTTGAAAAAGCGTTGAGTTGTTACTTAAAATAAAACATCAAATCAGTATTTCCAAAGAGTCAGTTTATGGCCTCTGAGTAGTGGTCACATGTCCTGTTGTCTGCAGCTGGATCGGTGTAAAAGCTGAATGCCCCAGCTGTTCATTGCTAGTGGCACAATTGTTCTCTAGTCCTTATTGCTCTGAATAACCAGATTTACTTGCACATGTTTAGCAGAAGGCTTTTTCTAACCTGTCTTGTGTAGGCTAAGGAGAGATTACACATGCAGTTACACTAGCAAATGGGAGGGATGAAGTATTCTCCAGTGGGTGAGCAGAGGAAAACAGCTTGCAGAGTTATATCTTCACTCAGCTCAGCTGGAACCAAACCAGAGCTGGAGACTTGCTCGCAGTTGAGCTGCTCTTTACAGCAAAACAACCTCACTGAAATCAATAGTTACTAATCACATCTCTTTGAGTAGCAGGCACTGAATATGACCCAAAGCAACTACTGTTGTTGACAGAATAATTTTCTGTCATGTAAAGACAGTTGTTGTGTTGGCTGTTCCTAGAGAGAAAACCTACAGCCTCAGTAATAGGTCCACACCAAATACAGCAGCTTCCTTCCTCAATATAGGTAATAGATTAACAAGAGTAGAAACTGAAGTGGTCTACAAGCCCGGAGAGCAGGCACAATCCAGAAAGATTCCCTGTGAATCTTGTTTTCCATGGGGACCACTTCTATAAGTGAGACAATTTTTCGTCCACCAAAATATTAATCCTGTGACTTACCTGATAAGACTGCTGACCAAATTGTCACTCACTGACATTTCAGAGATAGGTACCTGCTCACCAGAAATTAGGTTTATGGCACACAACCTAGAGGAAATTTGCCAGGTCTTAATGCCTTTCAGCCGTTATTGGCAAGATTGTGATTGTCCAAATGTGAAAGGCAGCGTATCGTATTACATCTGCTGGCTTCTGGTTTCTTCACTTCCTGCAGTCTATTAATGAATTCACTGAATGAAGCAATAAATACGTTTTTTTTTTTTTTTTTTTTTTTTTTTTTTTTTTTTTTTTTCTGCCCAAACTGCTTTTTAGTTTGCTATTTAGAAACCTTATTACTCAAAATGAGGGTGTTGCAAAAATCCCACCCACCTTGCAGTGCTAATACACAATTAGAGAGGCATTGGTTTTCTTTTGTTTCTCTGAATTTTCTAGAGTGGAGCAAACTGTGAGGTTTTCTCAAAAGTTACTGAGAGCAGGTATCTTTTCTGGTGAGAAGAAAGGTTTCATTATGGTTCTTGGACAGAAAAAAAAATGTCTGACAATACTAAAATAATTGATTTTTAATGGGTACATCTAACCTAAGATTATTTATTTTGCTATTTGAAGCTTTTGGCTCTCTCATAGGAGGCTGATACAATTTCTTTGGAAACTTTCTTTGTATGTGTGTGCGGAAGAGCTGAATTTGAAAACCTCCTAAAATTCTATGAAGTGTTGCAGTTTTATAATGGTGAACCTCATGGAACACCTTTTTCTTGAAGGAGACATTACCTGTAGTTTTCATAAGTGTGTACCCTGAGAGTGATACCACCCATTTCCTTCCTAATTTCCCTGCATGCTGCTCTTCTCTGTTTTATCAGATAGTTCAATAGAGGTACTTTCTAAAGCATCATTCTCTCTTATCAGAGGTTTGGTTGTTTTCCTGAGATTTCTTTTACTACATGCTTTACTGAGTAGTTTCCCTTTCTTCACCAAATACTGAGCTTCTTAGCTTTATTGCAAACAAAATGTGTTTTGTTTTTTTTTTTTTTTGCCCAGAGAAGTTGTGGAGTCTCCATCCCTGGAGATCTTCAAAAGCAGCCTGGACATGGTCTTGGGCAAGCTGCTATAGGTATCCCTGCTTGATTGGAGTGGACTAGATGACCTCCAACCTCAATCACTTCTGTGATTCTGTGAAATTAGATGGGAGGTATAGGAAGTATTCATTTGCCAAATAACACAATCCACAGCAAGGCACTAACCAAGTCAACATGTGGTAAGACTAACAGCTGCCTTTAACTTCCATTGATAATTGTTCTTCTTTTACTGACATAATATTCAATTCATTGCTGTTGAATGTTGTGATGGTAAAATTCATGCCTTCAGGGCTATATAGTAAGTTTTAGCCAGATAAACTGAACTCTGGCCTAATGGTGTAATATAGGCTTTTACACTGCTCAGATGCATAGGTCACAATCTGACTGTACAAACCTCTCTGTAATTATATTACCAGCCATTCTTGCATGTATTAAGATTATTCAAACAGATAATTAAAACAAAATCAATATAGGACGGATTCCACAATCTTTAAAGCAAGAAAGCTACTGATGTCAGTCTTGTCTATAAGACATACTAAATTCTGCACTTCTAATATGTTATGCCTAATCATTTGCTGCACTTACTAAACAGCAGTTTTATAATGTTATGTCTCAGAAATAATGATTTTTCTTCCCCCCCCCATCGATTCCTTTGCAAATCATATTTTTTCACCTTTCTTGGTCAGCAGTGTTCAGAATGCAGGAATCTAAAACATGATGCAATACACACATAGTCCAATAAGAATACTTATTTCTATACATACCTATCACATATGTATACAAATTATACATTGTATCTAATATCCATGTATACCTATCCATGCATATATATTGTACAACCACCTATAGTTATTTACTATACCTGTACAAATATCATGTATATATACTTACGTATAAGTTCTATACCAGAAAGAAAAAAAAATGTTTTATATATAGTGTATAAATGTATAATATTTAACCTTTACAAAGTAGATGCTGATGCCTGCGAGAATCTTAAAACAGCTAAAGAGATCAATTTTTGTATATATCTTAATAAGAATAACAGGATTTCATTACTATAATAGTGGTCTTTTTTATTGCTCTTCTCTAGGAATGTTCTACAATTCAAAACTCTTTTCTGAAAAAAAATGACTATAGAACATTTAAGAAAGTATTCCAGACCTAGGAATATGGATGTTTCCACATAATTAGGTAAAGCTAATTTACTTCTTTCACACAAAGGAAAGAAAATTGAAGAGGAATTAAAAAATACAGTCAGAATTCCTCAGTGATGGAATAAAGATTCCCATATTTTCTGTATAATGTCATGCAAACTATCATTGTTTAAGAAAATAAAGACATAAATCAATAGAATTTTTAAAGATTTCAGGCATTCCTGCTTCAACAGCTGGATGAATTCTAGAAGATGCAGAGCTCCCACAAAGTCAGTAGTAATTAAGAGCACTCAGAAACATTTAGTATTGGATTCTCAATCAGAAAGTCTTGTGAAATGTAATAATTCACTTATGACCCCAACAGATAATGTTATTTTTCAGATAACCAGCTACATGTATTCCTGGCCATATCCTTAAAGCAAGCTTAGCCATTTTTTGTTTACTTATTTGGAGTTTTGTTTGCTTACCTTACTTTAACCAGTCCATCTGTAAAACTTTATTTAATAAAGCTACCATTTTAAAATGACCATATAAACAGGACTTTCTTGTTGGTACCTTACCTTATAAGGATACCTGCCAACAAAACCATGATCACCATCCCCATCTCACCTACCCAGTATTTGGCATCATGATAAAGAAGGAAAGAAAAGCTGAAAGAACTGCTGATTAGGATCTCACTTTCTTAAGTTGAACTGTAGCCCTTGAAAACATGCCAGTTGCCTTATATGACCAAGTCAGGCTTGCAGTTAGCTAACCTCAGTATTTGTAGTATTTGAGGTATTTCCTACAATACGCATAAGCAAGTACAAATACATACTGCAGTACTAAGGAGACTGCATTTTTTCAGCATAGGTAAAAATTGAATATTTTATTTTGCTAACACCATCGTTATTCTTCAACACAGCACATTAAATATCTCAATATCTTTCTACTTCTTTGGGTGCATGATCAATAGTTCCATACCAAAAATATCAGTTAATTCTGTTTGTAAGCATGTTTTGCTTTATTTCCTACCTGAAGGATGTAGCCTCGAACATAGTCTCGAAGTGTCCAGCCTAAGCCATGTAGAATATGCAACACCTCCTCTTGCTTCAGTACGCTGAAGAGTCGATCAAGTAGTATCTTCAGTCTCACAGGCACAGCCTGGGTACCATAGAGCATCAAGCTGCTGATGTCAAACACAACGTTGGACTGCACAATCTCCACTTGGGTTGGGTGGTAGAGGTGTTGAGTACTAAGCTTGTCCAAAGCTGAAAGAAAAGGCATTACATATAAGGGAAAAGCTAGCAGAAATGAAAGAAAACACTCCCAAAGAACTATCTAAACACATCAAATTTGGCAGATGCACTTATTTTCAACAGAAAATAACACCTGGATGATTCTTTACTGCTGATGCACTCTAAAACAGTTTCATTTTCCAAGGGTCACAATTAACTTTAATTCATAGAGCAAAAGCATTCTTAGCTGAGCTCCAGAGACCATAATACTTGTAAATTCAAAAGAAATTACAGAAAATTAATGATGAGCTGAAGGCTAAGACTGAAGCTACATAGAACTGACCATAACTGTTAAAGATTTGAGACTTACCTTCTATAGTACAAATTAAAACAGATACACCTTGAACCACAGCCTTTTAAACATGTTAAAAATCATCCCTATAGGTTACCATGCAGTCTATAATGAATTCACTGCTACTTAAACCAGCTACTATGTAGTACACTTTGGTTTGTTTTATCCTTTAGTGTGAATTTCATAATATTCACAACACAAATAATTCAAAGATGAGAGGAGGGGAAGTCTGCAGGATGCAGGCAACTTTTATCCCCTTATGAAATTAAATGGTATGGAATTATATATGACATCACACACTACATTTTGTATCAATGTTTATATTTAATTTCCTTTTCCATTTTATGAAGCATGTTCCATCACCTAAGCTTCTGACTGCTTTTTTAAAATTAAACTTTCTGAGCATTTAAAATAATCTTATAGGGACTTCTCCTGTACTTTGGTTTCTTCTTTGGCTTATGGTCACTGGAGAGTTCATGTACTCCTGATAAATTGCTTTCTTACATCCAAAGCGCAAAGGCCCTTATCATTTACTTGCTGGCTTCATTCAATACATTTACTCCAAGGAATACTTTGTCAAAGAGTTCTGGTTTCCTCATACTTCATTTCTTGTAACTGATTTGTCTGATCTTTCCTATTCTAGTGGTTAAGTCAACTTTGAATAAATAGCTTTAAATATTAATTTAACATTCAAAAAAGATAAGGAATTGGCAAGCCTAGGGACTGCAGCCCTATGTCTCTCCACAGGACATTTATACTGCAGAATGTGAAGGGTGGGATTTTTCTTCTAATAGCTCTTCTTCCAAAGCGTTTCAGCTATCTAGGCTTCATGATGTGGGACAGATTTATTTATGAGTTCTAATGAATAGGATTTGATTGAAGTATAAACAGGTCAAATACTTTCCTACAGCTTCTTTATGTTTATGTTTATGTTTATGTTTATGCTTATTTATTTTATTTTTATTTTTTTCCTGTTTGTATGCGAGTTTTTGTAAGATGCTTATTTTGCTACTACTGTAACAGATGTGTCTTCAAAGTACTCAGAAAAAAAACAACTAGAAAGTTAATTTTGTTACTGTGTAGATTGAGGTGTATTTGAGAGGATGTGTATGTGTATGTGTAGGTATTAGGGTGATTGTTTCTTTTTACTTAACAGAAAACCCTATGCCTACAGTGAGGAAAAGCAAGCTCTTTCACTAGAAGAGGAAAACTGACTTGCTTAACATTTTTAAGATGGCTATTCTAATTTGGCCCATGTCAGAGCAACTGTGATATGTCTTCATGTAAAGACTATTGAGTGGATTATAAAATTAATAACTAGAATGAGGTTACAAAACTCTATGGACAATTACCCACTTCATGTAATGTGACCACTCTAAAAATAATACCTTAAAAAGAAGTCAAGATGGACTAGAAAAGAAAAGAGAAACAATAGAAAAGGTTGTTTCTTAAGTGACTAAACACACTGGTTGAACAACAGGCAGAAATTTTTACAGGATGTCCTGTACTATTGAATTTATCTGAAACATCTGTTTTCAAGCAATATTATCTAAAGTTTTCTGCTTCTCAAAAGAGGTGCACACAAACAAAAAATAAAGAATTAGTCCTGTGCTGGATTAATATTTCAAGTGACAGTGATTTCCAGTTTTGATTTGTGGCTTTATTCTGCAAATTATATAATTAAAAAATAAAAGAAGTACATTCTATTAAAGTATAAGTCAGTATATGCACTGAAGTTCATAATTTACAATACAACAAAGCATATATTTTTGCATGGGTGTGTCACAGAACATTTGCAAAATAAAGACAGTCTTCATACAACAGACGAAAAAAAAATAATGTGTAGAGAAATTAGAAGTTTTTATGGATCAATGATTATTGAAACCCCTTGCAGCTGTCAGGAAAATGCAATTTTAAACTTTAATTTGAATAATCTGTAATACCAAACTTTATACATATATACATGTGTATCATATACATTTATATATATACATAAAAATATAATACAAGAAATACAATATATAATAAATAATAAAAAATAAAATAATATATTAATGTATATTGTATCATATATAAAATATAACATATACTGTATATGATATATAATATATCAACTCTTAGCAATTTCCTTAATATATATATAAAATATATAAATAAATATATATATAATATTTATATTATATAAATTATAATTATATAATTATATAATTAATAATTATATAATATTTATATTATAGATATAAATATATAATAAATATATAATATAAATATATAATTTTATTATATATAATATATAATAAAATATATAATATTTATATTATATATATATATATATATATTATATATATATATATATATATATATATAATATTTATATATTTTATATATATATTAAGGAAATTGCTAAGAGTTGATAGATGGAGGTTACTTTCCACGGTACTCCTAATTGATTTCTTTGGTATAATCTGAATCTGTAAACTAATGACAGTGTTTTAGTTAGATTCAAGAGGCCTCTTCTATTGTTAGACACATGTTCTTTCAGGTACGAGATAAAAATAAAGGACCTAAATTTCATTACTCTTTCTGTCAGGAAAATAGTATTATCTTTAGCTTCCTTGTCAAATCTCAGACTAGACAGTTGCATTCTGTTTTCCTGAATTGCCCACCTAATTTCATGTAGATAAGGCATTCCTCATGACTTCCTGCCCTAAACTATTGGTTTGATTCCTTTATGCTAATGTTCAGTGCTGTGTTTCATAGATGAGTATGTTCAAAATTATCTGCACCAGTGTATGATTTCATAAGTGTTTAAGAGACTTCAAGATGAAACATGCTGTATATAAGAATGAGTTTTATTATAGCTGAAAAAAATACATAAACAGACGTGATTTTATTAAGAAGTTATCATTTACTGAATGTCATGAACTGTTCATTGTAAGTCCCTTCTAGGTGCAGTATGAGGTATTACTCATACTTAAGTTTTCAGTGGGCTCAAAACTTCACTCAGAAAAGTCTTACCATGTTTGTAACTTTTTGCTCGTAACCTGTACAGTTTTTGCAGAAAATTACTATGATGGGTTCAACTAGGTGCTTCAATTAAGGCAGCTACCTTTCAAAAGCCTGGTTTAATTTTTAGCACTGCCCCAATAATCTGATATTTTTTATTTTCATGTGAGCAGAAATCTATGCACTGATACACGAAGGAAAGACCTGATGAAACTTAAAATCATATGCTTGCAGAATAATATATATATTTTTTCTTTTTGTGGAACAGCCAAAAAAGTTCCTTTTGTTCTACTATAATGGCTTACAGCGGAGCAGTATTCCCACAGTGATCTCTAAATTTCAAACATTTGTTTCAGAAATTTTAACTAATAAAAGGGGGGCAAAAAGGGTCATAAAGTAGATAAAGTGCATAATTAGTGTAGGAATTAGTAACCTTTCATTTCTGTTTTTCTACCTAACTCTGAAGTATTGAGCATGCACCATAATCCTTAAATGATCGGTATTAATCACTGATTTTAGAAGATGCCTATCTATTTAGGATTCTTTTCAGTACTCTTCCTAGCCTTTTGCCATCGCAAGGTGAAAACCTTTCTTTCTGCATTGAAGTGTTAAGATCCTATCGTAATTTTGTTGCTGCAGACGGCAATTCTGAGAAGACACAGAAGACCTAATGAGATGTTCCTTGGGGCTACATCCTTATGTACCAACACATTCACACATTGCACACAGTGCTTAGGTTTTCTATCTGTTGCTGTAAAAACAGAAGCAGATCCCTCCAGTTTACACCTTGATCTCAGTGCTCTGCTATTGACACTCAAATTTTTGCAAATTGTACTCACCCAAATAACCCAAAATATCTAGAAGGACTGAATATTTCTGTCTTAAGGGTTTCAATGCATTTTAGTTTTGTAGTTATTGTTGTTGGAGTTGGTGGTTTCTTTATAGTCATTCTTGGCAGCTGAAAGGAGAGTGTCTAGTTTTCTGAGTGCAGAGAAAATCCAGATAGCAAAAGGCTAGCTCATCCAATTGCAAATTCAACTTGCCTGTGATCCCTTTTTCAGGAACAAATAAGGAGATATATTTGACAGATGATGCTTAGAACCATGAAACACTTCTTATGACTATTGTCCCAATTATTTTAAGCATCTGAGTTAGCTACAGAATAATAATAATAATAATAATAATAATAATAATAATAATAATAATAATAATAATAATAATAATAATAATAATAATAATAATAATAATAATAATAATAATAATAGACAAATACAAGCTGTGTGAGCATATAAAATTGAAGAGAAAATTACATTAAAGGAGTTGCATGTCATGCACCTGCAAAAGGAATGCTATGTTCTTCCTAATATTTGTATTATCCATTCTTTATTTTCTTGAACAGTAAACTAAGTTCCCAGATTTTACACAGACTCAGTATAATTTAAAATGTAAAGAGAACTTTGAAACTGATACAGTGTCAATCTTCACATTACTGCCTATATTTTCCTTATTATACAAAATGCCAGAAAAAGTTCTGGGAGTATTTGTAATAAATCGATAAAATTTTCCCTTCCCTTCCCTTCCCTTCCCTTCCCTTCCCTTCCCTTCCCTTCCCTTCCCTTCCCTTCCCTTCCCTTCCCTTCCCTTCCCTTCCCTTCCCTTCCCTTCCCTTCCCTTC